AGTGAAGAGCTGGGGCGCAGGGCCTGTGGGGCGCCGACAGTGTCCACACAAGGCTGAGTCACAGTGGACAGGTCCAGTCTGCAGGGCAGTGCGAAGAGGGCCATGAGCTCAGAGCCTTAACCCTGGGGTTCTGGGGTGCAGGGATATTGCCTGGCTAAAGCATACAGATTAATATGCTTGTAAACCATGATAAAAAAAAAACAGGGCTGGAGCGATAGCACAGTGGATAGCATATTTGCCTTGTACACGGCCGCCCTGGGTTCGATTCCCAGCATTCCATATGGTCCCCGAGCACTGCCAGGAGTAATTCCTGAGTGCAGAACCAGGAGTAACCCCTGTGCAACGCCGGGTGTGACCCAAAAGGAAAAAAACCCACCAAAACAGAAGACCTCAATGTACCCCTGAACAACACCGGAAACCGTGTGCGTTGGAGCCCGGCTTCTCACAGGTCAGTCTTAACTTTTCCAGAGGAAGGATCGTGGGTCTTTCACGCACTGCTGCCGCCCCCCGCCCGGGTCCCACGGGGACAGGGCTGCTCAGAGTGACTCAGGCTACGTCCCCGGCACACAGGGCACTGGACACCCCGTTTCTGAGTGTTTGAAGCTGGCCCACTGTAGCCCAGCAATGAGTGTCCTGGAGGTGCCCTTTGTTTAGGAAACGGGTGGGGGGCAGAACGGGGATGTGAGCTGTGGGGGAGGGGTCCAACCTCCCACTCCCCGGCCCCACGGGGACTGTATGGCACCGTCTGCGATGTTTCTGGTTAAATGATTCAACTTCCCGGAACTTCAGCTTTGTTCGACTCTGGATGGGACCTTTGGCAGGGACAGGAAGTTAGCGGAAACCTCGACTCACTCGTATGCCCCACCAGGCTCCTCCCTGGTCCTGTCCCTTCGAACGGGGAAGGTGCCAGCCTCGGTGGGCATCAGAGAGGTTCAGTGACCTTCCAGCCAGCACACAGCCAGGATGTGGGCAGAGCAGGCCAGGCCGTGACCTCAGCATTCCCTGGTTCCCACTGGGCCTCACCTGTGTCACCCTCTCTGGAAGCAGGTCCTGCCAGGGGACGGTTTTTGGGCTTGGTTTGGTTTGATTTTGCTTCTTTTTGTTTCGGGGCCACACCTGGAGGTGCTCAGGGCTTGCTTCTGGCTCCTGAGCTGAGAGCACCCTCCTGGTGGGGCCAGGGGGACCCTATGGAGTCCCGGGGATCAAGCAGGCAAGTAAAGCAACTTCTCCCAGGGCTGGGGAGATCAGTCAGGCTGTGCCAAACAAACAAACACCTTCCTTCCAAGTCTCTCTCTCTCTCTCTCTCTCTCTCTCGCTCTCTCTCTCATCTGTTCCTCTGTCTCTTTCTCTGCTCTCTCTCTCTCTCTCTCTCTCTCTCTCTCTCTCTCTCTGTCGAGCAGGTCACTGCTTTGCCTTCCTGCGAGAAACGCAGAGATGGAAGAGAGGTCTGCCAGGCAGCAGGCGGGCGGGACGCAGAAGGAGCCGTGGGCTGGGGTGCGGGGAAGCCATCACCCATCACCCCGTGGCTGCCGGAGCCCCCTCCAGCCGCTGCACACGCAGATCCCATCTCTGAGCTCAGAGTCCTCAGCGGGGACGAAAGCGCATCCGCGGAGAGAACTGCAGATTGCTTTCGGAGCACATTCCCCATTAGGCCATTAATCTCCCTATTCAGAGCGCCAACAAGGCGGCTGATGATGATTCCGGAGGAAGTGGGCACTGAACCGAAGCAGGAGGGAAGGGGGTTAGACATTCAGAAGCCGCCCAGCTTCCGGGGTGGAGGGGGACCCCTAAACCAATCCACAAAGTCAGGAAGAGTGTTTGCTTCCATTTCTGAGGTTCTCTGAGCAATTTACACCCCCCTTCCCTCCCTCTCTCCCTCTCTGTCTCCCTCTCTCTTCCTCTCCCTCTTCCTCTCTCTCTCCCTCTCCCTCTTTCTCCCTTTGTCTCTCCCTCTCCCTCTCCTTCCCTCTCTCCCTCTCTCCCTCTTTCCCTCGTCATCTTTCTCTCTCTCCCTCTCTCCTCTCTCTCCCTCCCTCCCTCCTCTTCCTCTCTCTCCTTCTCACTCTCTCCCTCCCTCCCTCTCTCTGTCTCCCTTTCTTCTCTCTCCCTCTCCCTCTCCCTGTTGTTATTTTCACTATCTAGCAAGGTAAGTCCCCCCCACTTCCTACTGCGGTGCTCAGGACTGACTCCTGGCTTCATGCTCAGGGATCATTACTGGCAGGGCTCAGAGGACCTTGTGCAGTGCTGGGGATCAAACCCAGAACCCTCCCGCACGCAAGGTGCATGTCCCATCCCCTGAAGTTTCTCTCTGCCTCTGCTCTTGATTTTTTTTTTTTTTAAGAAAACTCATTGCCTTGAAGGCAGGACCAAGCCCCTCCTCTTCAGGAGAGGAGGATTTCGGAGAACAGAGACGGCACAGCTGGACTGACCCACGCTCTCTCCCCAAAGCTCCAGGATTGGCCGAGCACCCCTCCCCCAGCTTGTCCTGATCCCCACCCTCCTTTGGCCCAAGCAGCCTCCGGACAGGGACAGACGGACTGACCCAGCGGAACCACTTCCTGCTCCTCGGGGCAACACACACGCTGATGCCGTGATGTCGCAGCCATTGGGCTGGGGGGTCTCCTTAACCCACACCTGTGAGCGGAGGTGCCAGGGGCCACTTCCGCAGGAAGGGCTGGGAGAGGCAGCAAGAGTGACGAAACCTGGTCCTGGTTCTCAGGAGTTGACTCCCTCGCCTCTAATGTGCCCTTTTTGTGCCCACATTCGGTGTGCCGAGATCCCTGCGTCCCTGGCCTCGACTTCCCCGGCAGCCTCTCTGACACGCAGACCACCCCGGGCGAGCCTCGGGGAACAAACAGCCGACCTGCCCCTCTCGGGCCAAGGCAAATGCTGCAGGACTGTCTTTCCAGAAGAGCAAGTCCAAACTGTCACCCCCCCCCCCCCCCCCCCAGTGACAGTGCTCATAACCACATCCCCTAGCTCAGCACACTGTGCTGAAACCCGCCGGGCATGCAGGACTCGGCTGTCCCGGCGGACCCTGTGTCCACCACTCCGTCGCGTTCTAAGGGCTGTACACCCAGGGCGTGGAGGGGGGGGGCACGGCACAAGGCCACTGCGACACGCATGTTCTGCCCAGGGCTGGCTCAGAGGTGCCAGGAGCCACTTCCGCAGGAAGGGCTGGGAGAGGCGGCATGAGTGATGAAACCTGGTCCCCTGGGCCCGGCCCTCTTGCTGACACTGTCACCGAGGGAAACTGAGTCCTGTCCGCCAAGGGAGTCCAGCATGGTGCTGGGGGGCTCGCCCTGTCGGCTGCACTCAGCACATCCCCGTCCCCTCCCGCCCCTGCAGGGTCCTGGCTTCCCGCTCATTACTGCGAGAACAGAGGGTTCCAGGCGTGAAGGCTGCCTCGGAGTACTGCTGCTTGATACTCGAAAATTAAGCCGGCCTGGAAGGGCTCAGCACCCGCCAGGTGAGTTCCGGCTGTGTCCCTCTCACCTAATTACCCGACTTCAAAGCCTTCTCCAGGCAGGGGTGGCGATGAGAGAGCTGCCTGCCCCCCCCCCCCCCCCGGCCCCCACCGCTCCGCACCAGTCCCAGCCTCGATCCGGGGATGATAACACCCCCGTGAGACAGCCGCTGGCACTGAGGTGGGGATGGGGCAGATTTGAGGCTGGACCCCAGGACCTGGGTCTGTGTGTCCGAAGGCCACAGGGGAGCCGTGTCGGGTGGAGCAGGGGGGCTCACCTACAGCAGGGCCTGAGAGAAGGCAGCCGGGGAGGGGGCCCCCAACTGCTGAGGTTTGGAAGTAATTGCTCCTGACCCCCTAATTCTGCAATAGGGGCCAATGGCTGGAACTATCGAACCCGCCGCTCCACCCGGGAAGGAGGGGAGCTCAGCCTCGCCGTGAGTCTTGCCCAGCTGAGAGTGACCAGCACCATGTCCCCTCCGCAGGGTAGGGACCTGGGGGCAACACACACGCTGATGCCGCTATGTCGCAGCCATTGGGCTGGGGGGTCTCCTTAACCCACACCTGTGCGCGGAGAAGGAGGGCTGGATGGGAAGGCCGAGACGGCCGTGGAGGGCGACCACGCTCAGAGCCGGGCACCGACTCCAGGAAGGTCCCAAGGTCAGAGGCGGGAAGCGAGAGGTGGTCTGTCCCCACACGCAAGCCCCCAAGGGGCAGAGTTGGGCCCAGAGCCCGCACCCATCTGCCCTGCCGTGACCCGTGGGATGGAGGAGGGAAGCAGGGCCCTGCTGGGTCGCGGGGTGCAGCCTTCCCAACTCGAGACCAGCGAAGGCCATGGGGACAGACAGACAGACGGGGCCTCTGGGGTCAGGGTTCAAGCCCTGATATTGCACTGGGCTCTGCGGCCAAGTCGGGTCCACCTCCCCTTGCTGACACTCAGCGTGGCCATCTGTAGAATGGGGCAAATCACAGTATCCTCTCTGAGAGGCAAGGGGAGGAAAGAGGAAGGAGGAAAACTTTGCAGAGTCAGGGAGGGGCCGCCCCCCAGCAGAGCTGCCCCCGACCAGCCGAGGAACCGAGCGTTACCGGAGGAAGCACATTCGTCACGTCCTGCTCGCTCTCTGGAGCTGCTTCAGTTGCTGCTGTGTTAGCAGCACCGAGGAGCTACAATGCAGAGCCCCCACGCTCCCCACCAACGCCCGACACAGTTCCTAACGGGTCAGTCAAGAGGAAAGGCGCTGGCCCCTGACCTGGGCTGCCAGTGAGGAGGAAGGTGGGTGCCACCCGCCTGCACCTGGGGACCCCACGTCGCAGTGCTCTGGTTCCCGTGCTCAGCTGCAGCTCGTGCCCTGAGCCCCAAGGGGAGAGGTGCCTTGAGGACAGGATTCTGGAAAAGAGGGAGGCAAGTCTCCTAGGAATCGGGAACCTGAACCCCGGGATGATCTCAGAGCCCTGGAGCTCAGCCTGGACAGGAGAACTGGGGGTGCAGGGGAAGGGGTCGGGGTGAGCAGGGGCTTCAGGGACAGCCACTTACTTGCAGTTCTTACACTTGAGGCCGAAGAGCATCCCCTTCCCGCAGACGGTGCACGTCTGCGCCATCCAGTACTTGGTGGAGAACCTGCAGGAAGAGAGAGGAGACGCTTGAGGCCTGGGGACAGCGACTAGTTGGAGGAAGAGCTGCAGAAAGGGGGTGCACTCGGGGACCCCGACTTTGAGCCTGCAACTGCTGAGAGTGAGCGTCTGCCTCAGGCGGGTCTGAGCAGGACGAGGAGATGGGGGAGTCACAGCTGCAGCACCCCCGTGGGCTTGGGCAGGCAGGGACCGGGGCAAGTGCCGGGCTCAGCGAGTCGGGCTGGGCTGGGTTTGACCCAGACCCTCAGGGCAGTCCCTCAGGTCGCTGCCTGGTGGCTGAGACCATCTGCTCAGTGCCGGGACAAGACGTGTTGGGCCACTGCTTCCTCGGAGTCGCGAGCAAGGCGGAGCGTACCTGGAGTCCATGGGGGCCCATGTCTGCTCATCAGACCCCTGAGAGCTCCAGAGTCCCCCCAAATGAAAGCTGAGATGCCCCCAAACCTTGGGAGCAGAGAAGAGTCCCGGGGCAAGTCTTTCTGGCTGTCCCTTCTCTGTGACCCAAGCCCCGCCGGCCCGTAAATCTCGAGCTGATGGGGAACATCCACGGCCAACCTCCGGGACCCCTGCTGCCCCTATGTGCTCTCCCCACCCGCCCACACCCCCAGAGGTCCCGGGAAGGAGGCACTGAAGCTTTCCGGAGCAGAGACCATTTTTGTTCTTGACTTTCCAGTCTCTCCAGCGAGCGCCAGTCTCATCTCCACTGACTCCGAGGGCCATCGGGAGAACAGGCAGTGACCGCAGACGGTGGGGCCCCAGGGACGGGAGGAGAGGGTGCATGCTCTGGGGGCCGCCCGGCCTGGGCTGTGCCGTCGTACCAAGGCCAGGCAGAGGGAGACACAGCGGAAAGCCCGGATGGCAGCAAGGAGCGGGATTCCGTGCTGGCTCTCCTGTGGTCGGAGTGGGGGGGGCGAGGGGCGGCGCCCTCCCAGCTCTGCGGTGGGGGTGGGTCCGCCCATGGGCACCCCTTCAGTGGGGCCAGTCCACTGGACAGGATCCTGCAGCTCTGGGGAGTGGGCAGTAGGCTTCAGCCCTTGGCACAGGGCGGACACTACAGGCCGCTTGAGTGTCCGATGTGCATCCCCAGCTCTCCGGCACCGGCTCCCTCTGCCTGGGCCCTGGCCGTGGTGGTTCCCAAGTGGTCCTCGGGGCCTCTGGGGGCCACTCCCAGGAATACTTGGCCACCTAGAAGGCTGGTTCGGTGCTAGGGCAAGGCCAAGGACGCCGTATGGCTTGGGCGACTGTGGTGTCGGGGCCCATCAGGACCAGACCTGGTGGGGGTCAGGGCCTCCGTGCTGTACCAGACAACACCCAGGAGGCCACTGAGCTGGGAGGGAAGCCCTGTCCTCCGTCGCCCACCTCAGGGTGGCCTTCATTTCACTTCCTCCCCAAGGCCAGGACGAGTCTCTCCTTCTGGGGCCCAGGGGGGAGACTGAGACTCCCTGCTCTGCCTGCCAATGTCTGCATAACCCCCAGACCCCGCCAGGTGTAACAGTAGGTGGGAGAGACTGGGGGCAGGGCCACCTCGCGGAGGGGGACAGCCGGAAGGAAGACCAACTCCCACAGAGCTGAACCGGAGGGTGAGACTGACCTCGGGGCGTGGCCATCCCAGGGGTGGGGTCGAGCCACCTGCTCAGGGGCAAATCTGGGCAAGGATGTCACCAGTCCACTGAGGCAGAGCCAGGGCTACTCTTAAAAACAAAATGGGGGGGGGGGGCGGTCACACCTGGCCATGCTCAGTGCTTACTCCTGGCTCTGTGCTCAGGGATCACTCCTGGTGGGGTCATGTGGAATGCCGGGGTGTGAACCTGGGTCGCGGGTATAAAAGGCAACCGCCTGCCTGCTGTTCTATCGCTCCAGTCCCGAGGCAGGACCATCCTTAAGGACCGGCCCCCCGGAGGGCAGGAGCCGGGAGCCTGGATGAGCCGAGGGGTGCTGGGAGGCGGGGGTTGGGGACAAGCACAGAGACCCCTCCCTCTGCAGATCCGCCCTTGGTGCGTCTCGCTGTGGGACCCCGGCTGAGTCTAGCACATCTCTCACTGCCTACGCGTCTCCCTCTCATTTGGGCCTTAACAAATGACCTGTCACCATCCTTCTCTCAAAAGCTGTTTGACGAGGTGCCATTCCTGCAGGTTGCTCCTTCGCACACTGCCCGCCCTAGGTGCTGCGCCTGTTACAGCCCCACTACCCTGGTACCGGGGGGTAGGGGGCTGGGAACCATCCCAGCCTCAGAGAACCCCCCACCCTACCCCCCGAGGGCAAGACCCTCTATTTGGGGGCTACAGCATCCCCGCCAGAGCTCTCCGATCCAGGAACACGGGAGTGAGTGAGCAGGTGCCCTGGGGGGGTCCCCAAAGCCTCCCTTCTGAGCGTGGAGAGAATGCAGAGGGCTGAGGGGGGATTGCCTGGAGACCCTTACTCAGGCCTGGGTTTCTCCTGTCAATGGGCACGGGCACACTTGCTCTGTGGAGACCCTGTGTCTGGGAGGACTGTCCGAGGAGGTGGAACGGGGACAGTCGCCTTTGGGGGGCCAAAGTGTTCTGAGGGATATCCTGCAGATACCAGAACCTCTCTCCTGCCCTGGGCACCTGTTCCTTTGAGGAGGGGGGACCCTAGCCCCTTTCTGCACCCCCCGGACTGGAGCTCAGGGTCCAGCTCAGCCTGCCATATTGACTTTTGGACGCGGTGGAGGGGTGCAAACTTGGGGTGGGAAGAGTTTGTCGTACTAATCTGACCTCTGTCAGCAGGCCTCACCTACAGAGCCTCAGGGGATGTGGGGGCACTCCCAGGGATGCTCAATGCTCAGAGCTTGGCCTGGTGGTGCTCAAGGCCAGAGGTGCCTGGGTGCCAAGTGGTGCCGGGGACCAATCAGATCCAGGGCACCGCATCAGCTGGCATGGGCTCTCCCACTCGAACCGAATCCCGCCTGGTGCATGACCAGGGTGACGTTTCCCCCTAGCAGTGACTCTGTGCCATGTGAAGCCCTGGCACTTTTCTTGCATTGTCCCACCCATGTGGGAACACGATTCCCAGAGAGGGCAAGTTGCTTCCTGCAGGTGGCAGAGATTTGTGGGCTGGAACTCAAGCCCGCCTGGCTGCCAAGTCCCGGCTTGCAGGCATTCCGGCTAATCTGACAGGGACCAGGGTCCCACCGAGGGGACAGCTCAGGCCTCACCGTGGCATGGAGGGTCCATGTTGGGGTGGGGGGGCCTACCTGTGCTTGATGGAGTTGCCGAGGTCTCTGCGGGGGATCTGCGGGGACCAGCGAGGCACAGACAGGGTATCTGCAGGGAGAAGACGGGCGTCTGTTAGCTGGGGACAGGGGTGGCTGGGCAGAGAGGGAGGCTCAGGACCTCGGGCGGGATGGCCAAGCCTCAACTTGAGGCTAAGCCACGCAGACCCTGCTCCAGCCTGGCACCTTTTTTTTTTTTTTTTAATTCCAACGAAACTAAGAAATGGCAAACTGGATGATCAGAAAATATACCAGTAAGAGTCCATTTATGATTAGTCGATGATTTTGACCTACGTAAATATGAGAAATTAAAACCATTTAATACAGTACGATAAAATGCCTCTGCTCATTTACATATTACATCTTTGACATGGGAATCTAAAATGTAGTATATTATTATTATTTTTTTTGCTTTTTGGGTCATACCCAGCGATGCTCAGGGGTTCCTCCTGGTTCTGCACTCAGGAATTACCCCTGGCAGTGCTCGGGGGACCATACGGGATGCTGGGAATCAAACCTGGGTCAGTCGCGTGCAAAGCAAACGCCCTACCTGCTGTGCTATCGCTCCAGCCCCATTAAATTTTATTTTATACTTGGATCTCGTCATGGTAATAATCATGTCTCACCTGTCATGAATAAAAGTGTTTTTGGTCTGTTTTTCTGGGTCACACCTGTGGGTGCTTGGGGCTTATGCCTGGCTCTGTGCTCAGGAATTTCTCCTGGCAGTGCTCAGGGATGCTGGGGGATAAAACCAGGGTTGATCACGTGCAAGGCAAATGCCCTGCACACTGTATTATCGGTCCGTCCCCTAATAAAGCTTTTAAAGCACTTCTGTGTTAATATATTTTGGAGTTTACATGGAATGGGTAAGGCCAATACATGCAAATCCCCCCCCTACACACACACACACACACACACACACACACACACACACGCACACTTTATATGAACACGGTGGTTTACAAAGTTGTTCACGGTGATTTGACACAGACATTCAATATTCCATCCCAATCCCACCACCATGGCACCGTCTCTTCACCACTGTCTCCAGTTTTCAGCCTGGGCAGCTTAACCCCAGCTTAACTCCTGGGCAGGGCATCTGGGGTGTCCTGGAAGGGGGCAGCCGAGGGCAGGATTGCGTGGTGCCCCTCTTCCATTTACAGAGACTTCCACGTGTGTCAGGTACGTGCAAAGTGACTTGTAGGCCTTGGCCGAGGAGTGAACAGTCAGCATCCCCACCTCATGGACAGAGAAACTGAGGCCCGGAGAGAGGTCAGAGACCAGCATGCCACACAGCTGCCATGAATCCAGGCTTGAGGGCCTTACACATGCCCACATGCCGGATTCTACGAGGAGAGAAGCCAGAGAGCCAGCACTGGGCCTGCCACTCTCCTTGGTTCTGTCATCCCACCCCCATGGACATCAGAAAATTATTTTTTTACATTTTTAAGTTGACTTTTGGGTTTTACATTTATTTTACTTTTAATTAATTAATTTGTTTTGATTGACTTATTTGGGGGGGGTGGAGGTTGTCAGATCTGGCAGCTCTCAAGGACTATTTCTGGCTATTTCTGTGCTCAGGGCACACAACTGGCAGATGCTCAAAGGACCATATGTGGTGCTGGGGATTTGAACTAGGGTAAGCCATGTGCAAGGGACAAGCACCTCAAACCCTATCTCTCCAGCCCCAGATATATTTGTTTAAAAAAATCAAGCTCCACATGAAAAAAAAATTCGCCTTGTGAATAACAGAGTAACTGTTTAAAGTGTATCCAATCAATGACCATCAAAATCTGGGTGAACTGTACCTCATGGTGTTTCACTAATAAAAATTAAAAAAAAAACACCTGGGTGAGTTCGAAGAAATGGATAGATTAGTGGTACAGGAAGTGATAGATGGATTTAGAAGTGGGGAGAGGGGTAGATTTATGGATAGGTGGGTGGGTGGGTAGATGGATGGATGAATGGATGGATGGATGGATGATGAGTGGGTGGATGGATGGGTGGATGGATGGATGAGTGGGTGGATGGATGGGTGGATGGATGGGTGGATGGATGGATGGGTGGATGGATGGATGGGTGAATGGATGGATGGGTGGATGGATGGATGGGTGGATGGATGGATGGGTGGGTGGGTAGATGGATAGATGAATGGATGGGTGGGTGGATAGATGTGTAGATGGGTGAGTGGATGGATGGGTGGGTGGGTGGATGGATGGATGGATGGATGGATGGATGGATGAGTAGATGGACAGACAGATGGATGGGTGGGTGGGTAGGTGGTTGGACGGATGAGTGGATGGATGGATGGGTAGATGGATGGATGGAAGAATGGGCGGGTAGGCATGTGTCTGGTAGAGAGATGAATGGAAGACCAGATGGATGGTGGGCTGGAGGGATGGATGGAAGGATGGATGACTAGCTGGGTGAGGAGATGCGGGGCATGAGGAACAGTCCGTAAATCAGATTTCAGCCTTGCCCAGTTCCCGCCTGCTTTGTCCTCACACCTTCGGCTGCATCCCTGTGGCCTGCACCCTTCTTCTGCCCATGGCTGAGTTCTAACAAGCCTCCCGCAGCCCTGGATCACCAGCCCCCTCCACCCCTTGGAGCGTGCCCCCCCCCCCCCGCTCCCTCGCAGGTCTCACAAGCCCTGGGGAGCTGTGAACCGCAGCAGGCCGGCTGCCTGCAACATCCCCCGGGCTCAGGACAGAGCAGCAGCGAGTGGCTGAGCCCTCAGCCGCCAGCTCTCAGTTCTCCTGCCAGATGGCCAGAGCGGCCGAGCACGCCTCACTTCCCAGAGCCATTGTTCTGCCGGGGCGCGCACCTCCTGGCCGGGCAGATGGGCCTGTCTCCACTGCTGGGACGGTTACTCGCAGCCCCTTCGCCCCACACTTCTGCCTAATGGCTCTGTTGCGGCCACCTGAAAGCTGTTTGTAGGAACCCCAGGACTGCCCTTGCCAAGCTGGCACCCTTTTTTGGGAGCATTGATCACTTCCCTGGCCCCCATGGGCAGAGAGAACCCTTGGGGGGAAGCGAGGAGGCCCCATCGCCCAGAAGAGTGGCTGGTGGAGTTTCCGCTAGTGCATTAAAGACAGGAGGTCATCGGGCCCATGTCCTTGGCTTCCATTTTCTTTTCTATTTTTTTTTTTTTTTGCTTTTTGGGTCACACCTGGAGATGCTCAGGTGTTCCTCCTGGCTTTGCACTCAGGAATCACTACTGATGGTGCTTGGGGGACCCTATGGGATGCTATGAATAGAACCCGGGTTGGCCGCGTGCAAGGCAAACGTCCTACCCGCTGTGCTATGGCTCCAGTTCCTTGGTTTTCATTTTCTAAGAGCCAAAAGAGAACATGAGCAGGGGGGACAGACCACGACCCGGCTGGAGACCCGTCTGGAGAGACCTTCCTTCAGCAGACGGGGTGGGAGGCGGGAGCGCAGAAGAGTCCGTCAGTGATGTGGAGAAGAGGGGAGGAGAGGGAGTCCCCCAACCTTCCAAGTGGGTTCATGTTGGGGTTGGGGTTCTTTTGGAGCTTCACTTGGAAACCCTAAATGCTAGGCTTGCAGCCGCAGGCACGGCCGGCAAGGAGCAGGTGAATAGTGGGAACGTGTCCAGAGACTCCGGTGAGAACAAACAGGCTTCGGAGGGCGTCGCTGTGGGCTGGGGAGTGGCCGGGGCAGGAGCAGAGAGATGCTGCATTGGTGGCCGCAGCCTCAACACTAAGGGGCTGTCTCTGGGCTTCACATTGCTCCTGTGCTGCTTGGTTTAGTTCTGTTTAATCACATAGATGAGAGGCGTGTTCCATGGAAAAGAAGAAGAAGAAAAGAAGAGGAAGGGGAGAGGGAGGGAGAAAGAGAGGGGGAAAGGGAGAGAGGGAGAGAGAGAGGGGGAAAGAGAAGGAGGGGGAGAGGGAGAGAGAGAGAGAGAGAGGGAGAGAAAGATAGAAATAGATAGGAGAAGGAGGGAGAGAGAGGGAGAGAGGGAAAGAGGAAGAGAGGGAGGGGGAGAGAGAGAGGGAGAGAGAGATCGCAGATCACAGAAGTCTGATTTGGGGACAGCTGCAAGCCCCTGGCGTTGCTCTCCTCCGGGATGGGGGCAGGGGTGAGGCGCTGTGCCTGAGTGGAAGGCCTGGTGCCTACGGCCCCTCCTCTGGGGCGAACCGTCTGAGTGCTGTGGGCTTCACCCCCTGCTGTGGCTGCTGGAAGGGGTGAGGCTTGGCAGGGATGAGCATGAGACGGGTCTGCGCCATCCGCCCTGGGCGCAGAGCAGGGGGCTGCCCGCACACAGGGCCACGGTCACTCCCGCAAGGCCAGGGGCCTCACCTGCTCTCTGCATGACCACCCGGCACAGAGCAGGGACAGTGTACTCAGGACACAGTCAAGGGCATCAGACTGGAAATACCCAACTCCCCACTCCAGAGGCGTCAGTCACTGTGTCACAGTTGATGCCCAGAAGTGAGCTCTCTCGCCAGTGCTCCCGTTGACCAAGGGAGCTAGCTCAGAGAGGCACAGTGACCTGCTAAAGGTCACACAGCCAGACACACCAGCAGAACCCCCAGGAGTATATACACTGTCCCAAAGTCCTCCGGCAGTGCCCATGCCCGTGTTCTCGCCAGTCCCGGGCACAGAGGGGGACAGTTTCTGGCTGTCATTGAGCTGGTGTCATGCCACAGAGAGAAACCCAAGAGGGAGCACTCGAGGATCAGCACCCTTCCACCCACAGGCCTGCCCAGGATCCTCCATCCAAGGAAGGATCAGCCCCAAGTGCTGGCAGTGCCGAGGCTGAGGATCTCTGAGCTGGAGAGCCTTCACTTTTGTTTTTTTTTTTGGTTTTTTTTTTTTTTTTGCTTTTTGGCTCACACCCGGCGATGCTCAGAGGTTCCTCCTGGCTCTGCACTCAGGAATTACCCCTGGTGGTGCTCAGGGGACCCTATGGGATGCTGGGAATCGAACCCGCATGCAAGGTGAACGCCCTCCCCGCTGTGCTATTGCTCCAGGCCCAGGTCTTCACTTCTTGAGCTGCCTGCAACCCCCAGTTGAATCACAGCTGAAGCT